CAAAAAACAAAAAAAAAAAAAAAAAAAAAAGAACCATGCAATGTGGGTTAAAGGGGTCTACCACGTATCTCTGCATACTGGATTTTTAAAAAGACAACACTAGAGTGAGAATAAGAGGTACTAAGAGTTTTGAAAGAGAGTAAAATGGATTTCCCACAAAAGGTTGAGATTTATCATAGCATCAGGCTATTGTTAGCAACCCAGGAACCCAAAAGGGAAATCCCTTTGTATCTCAGGGTAAAATGAGTACCACGTTAAAATTTGGAATTAAAGCAAATGTTTGACTAGAAGAAATTTTGAGCAGTGCAAACATAAAAAAATATTAAAAAATTAAAACATAAAAAAATAGTGTTCTGCCAAAATAGAGAAGCTGACCACAAAACAGGAAGCCACTAAAGAAACTGGCCACAAAACAAGAAACCATGGAAACCTAGAACATATGAGCCTCACATAGGAAGAGGCAAAAGCTGGGACCAGCATGGAGGCCAGGCTGGAACCTGTAAGGTCTACCCTTGGCTACTAGCCTCCCCCAGCCTGGCTCTGCCTCCTAAAGTGACAGAACCTTCCAAAACATCGACACCAGCTGAAGATCTAGTGTCCAGGCCCCAGGAACCTCCAGGGCCACTTCGACTTAAACTACAAAACAGAAGGAATGTGAGCCCTTCCACCCAAGTCACACTGCTGAGAGAGGCCTGGGGAAGGTCCTTTGTTATAGAGGCAACAGGAAACAGAGGCCTAGGTGAGGAGAAAAGAGAGCCAATTACAAGGACTGCTAGGCAGGCCAGGCAGACCTGGGACAGCCTAGCACAGTCTGGGACCAGACCGCCAGGCCCTCCTTCATTTCATGAACCACACAGACCTGAGGTTGATTTCTCTCATTTTACTATTGCCTTGAAATGGAAGCAGTGCAATCTCATCAAAAATAGTCAAGCCATTAAGTCTTGCTGCTTAGAACCCAGGGCTACCCAACGTCCAATTACTTAATACCCTCGTTATTTTGTGTGATAACATAAGACAATACCTTGAATCCTATTCAGCAACTAGCATTTTCATTTACCGTGGACATCTTTTCATGTCAGTACAATATGGAGACAGTTCATTCTTTTTAATGACAGCATGGTACTCCATGGCTTGGATATATATCACACTTTATTTAGTCTCCAATGTGAATTTTGTCTATGTTCACATATTTTTGATGTAAATTATGTACTGTCTTTGAGCATATATTTGGCATGCCTGGAGAAGTACTCCACAGTGAGATTTACAGGAGTAGAATTTCAGAGTCAAGATTATCAGTCCTTAACTTTCCAGTTGGTGTTGTAGACTGTGCTCCATGAGAGCAGAATGGAAAGCGATGTTCAGGCTAACTAAATATTCATGAGTACTTTGACTGTAAAGCAGGAAACATGTTAGGTGACTTTGGAGGCAGCTACTGTTTCCCTGATTAATTCCCAGGAGTATTGGTCTCTTTTCCGATTCGTTGATCTAGAATAAAAGCAGAGGGCAGGGACAGAAGGATGAGGTTAGCCCTGTGTTTGTTGCCTATGATTTCTGGAGAGGGGATGGTGGGTGGGCTCCTAAGGCCTCCAAGTCACAGCCCCCTGCAGCCTCAGTAGACCTTCAGTATGTGTGTACATACATACAAACCTTTACTACGGCTCTCAAGACTAAGAGCTGGAAAGGGGTGGGGGAGTAGATATATTTGGACATGGTAAAACCTAAATCTATGGACAGTGAAAGACAGTATTAAAATGTTTGAAGAGGGAGAATCAGCAAAGCATAATTTAAATATCCGGGGAAGGGCTGCTCTGCAAAGTAAATGAAGAGTGCATATTGGGGATAAAAATGGGCACAGTGTCTCTCCACGCACATGCTTGCAGTTAGATCACTGTTAAACGAAGACACACATATGATTACTGTGTAAAGACCTTTGGTGTCTGCCAGTAATTGCACACCTACACCAGCAGGGCATGGGCCTGGAGAAAGTGACTCGCACACTCTGTCCAATGGGAGCACGAATGAGTGGACATGTAGTGGACAATGGCAGTCTACCCAGCAACATTGAGCATGAGCAGAGAGAAGGCACTCCGACCCCCAGTCATCTCCTGAGGACATCAGCATGTGCTCCTAGATCACACCCATGCCCAGGTTATCTCTCCTGCAGGGACAGGATGGTTCAGCTGCAACCGAGGGGGCTAGTGATCTCTCAGTCACCTCTGGAAATGAATTAGAGCCAGATGAGGTCCCCCGTGGCTAAGCAGATATTTTTGTCTACTCCATCCCTCCCTGGCCTCAGTAGACCAAGTTGGTGCCTAAGTACGATGAAAATTCAATTCCTTGATGTTTTGTGAGGTCACTGGGTAGTTGGCCCACCAGAGTAAGAGTTGTTTTCATCAAACCAGAGACAAGTGGGCACATTACAGGTAATAACTTAGAACTAAATTCCATTTGTTATAAATAACAAATTATCCAACGATTTCCTTGTTGTTCTGTTTGCCTTTTATTGCTCTGTCTTTTTCACAGCAGCTTGTGTTATGGTGCCTCAAATAACCACCCCTTTCTGTTCATCTTTACAAACTGTGTAGGAACGAAGAAAGAAGCACAGAAAGACCCAGATGCTAACAAACCTGCTGTGTCGTCTCCCAAGAGAACAGCAGCTTCTTCCACCAAGCTTCACTCACCAGGTACTTATACGCGTGGTTGCGGCTGTTTCGAGAGGCCTGAGTTTGCCTTCAGATGGCTGTCATTGTGTGCATGCCAGCCTGACACACAGGCTGGGTTTGCCTCATTCGATACCAGAGGAACATGTTTGGACACGAGTTTTGTTCATAAAAACAAGATGCTATGCTACGTACATGTGGGAGAATTTCTTTGCAAAGGAATATGTGCTCTTATTAAAACATGTAAAAATAATTCAGTTGGGAAAAAACACCACACTTTGAAGTTAGACCTCAAGTAGTATTTCATAAAGGGAAGAGAAACAAGTTGAATGTAATGATATCTAGCGTCGAATTGTTTCCAATCCATGCCTGAAATGAATGTTTTAAAAACTGAAATACGGAAATATCTATATCAATGAAATGCCAAGCAATTAATAATTAATACATGTTAAATCACCTGTATGTAAAGTGTACATCTTGGTCAGTTTTGACATGTGTACTCATCCATGAGGTTACCACCTTTCAATGAGAACACTCATCCATCTTCTCCCAAAATGGCCTGGTGATCTTGTCAGGCCCATGTGCCCAGCCCACCACACCCCAATCCCAACCATCTCTGGTCTATTCAGTCACACTAGTTTGTGTTGTAATACATTGCTATCTTACTGTCTTCTTTAATAACTGCTTCCTCCACATTGGTGAATATCCTAACGTGTTAGCTACTTTTCTGTGGCTGTGATAAAACAGCATGACCTGTCGGCAGCAGAGGAGTGTGTGAAGTCCCGTGTGACTGCGTGCTGTTGACATGGGCACAGCATATCAAGGACCCAGTGCTTCAGTCTCAGAGGGAGACAGTGTGTGCAAAAAAATTGGCCACCATAGTTTTCTCCCCCTAGATGTTCACAGCCTAAAGACGGCTCCCCTACTGAGATTGCCCTTGCTAGAATTAACTAACCCTGCCTTCTTGTTCAGATGATGTAATAACCCCACCTATCTATATAATAAACACAGTGAGCTTCCAGGGTACTTGGGTTTCTCCAGCCACGAACCCAGACCACCCAATCCCAGCTCTTTATCTGTGTATTCATCTTTCTGTCTGTTCTTCATTTCCTTGCCACCCCAGTCAGGTCCAAATCCTTGGAGGCTGTGCAAGGACTTGGTAGTGACCAAGCCAATTTCTTAGGGCTTAAGGTTCCAGATCCTGTCATTGTGGGGCAGCAAGCAGCCAGCATCGTGGCTTCATCAGAAAGCCAGGCGCTCATAACCCCTACTATAAGCAGGAAGCTTAGAGAAGAGTCCCTGGGAATTGTGGGATATTTTAAAACCCCAAGCTAACCCCCAGTGATGACGTCCTCCAGCAAGGCCACACCTCCTAAACCTACCTAACATCAGCAGCAACAGTAGACCAAGTGTTCAATACATGAGTCCATAGGGAGTAGAACTACAGAAGGTGTGGCCTTGTTGGAAGAAGTGTGTCACTGTGGGCCTTGAGGTCTCCTATGCTCAAGCCATGCCCAGTGTGACAGTCTTCACTTTCTGCTGCCTGTGGATCAAGATATAGAACTCTCTGCTCCTTCTCCAGCACTGTGTCTGCCTGTGTGCAGTCATGTCCCACCGTGAAAATAATGGACTAAACCTCTGAAGCTATAAGACACCCAATTAAATATTTTCTTTTCTAAGAGTTGCCATGGTCCTGGTGTCTCTTCACAGCAGTAGAATCCCTAACTACGACACTGGCTGTATGGTTCATTAACTGCTGTGGGATGTCTGTACACTGAGAAGATGTATTGCTGTGATTGGTGTAATAAAAAGCTGAAAGACCAGTAGCTAGGCAGGAGAGATAGGTGAGACTTCCAGGCAAGGAGAGACCACTGGGCAGAAGGTGGGGTCGCCAGATAGACAGAGAGGAAACAGGATTGGCAGTACAGAGAAAAGATAACCAAGCATATAAAAGAACATAGACTAAAAGATATGGCTTAATTTAAGTTATAAGAGCTAGGTAAGAACAAGCCTAAGCTAAGGCCAGGCTTTCATAATTAATGTCTCCATGGATTTTTGTTGTTGTTGTTTGTTTGTTTTGTTGTTGTTTTTTGTGTGTGTGAGTGGTTGGCCCAAAGAAAAATCTGACTATACTTAACTTCTTTAAATTGTGCCAAATTGTTTCCTAAAGTAATTTTCCATTTGCATTCCCTGAGGTAATGTGTCAGGGTTATAGTTCCCCCACCTCCTCGCCATGCCCACTGTGCCTACTCACCTCTTTCAGGAAAGCCCATACTCCCACTTACTAGTGGCTACAAAGGATCAGACACAGGACACAGATGAGCATCTGGGAGAAGTGTCCTTAGTATGGGAACCAGAAAGTCCTTCTGTGATGGCATCTGTCTCCGTGGCTTTAGAGAATGCTCTGCAGTATGTCTAACCAGGCAAGAAACTCTCTAGAACCCACAGTTTAGGGATGCCTAGAAACTTCAGCATATACATATAATTGATTATTTACTCAACCCCAACCCCTCACTCCTCCTCAGAGGTCAAAGGTAATTAAATTCAGGCAAAATGACAGTAAAATATCCACAGACCTGACCACAGGTCAATCAGATGGGAGACAGTTCTTCAAACAAGCTTCCTGTGCCCCCTGGGTTACTCTAGTTTGGGTCAAGATGACAAAGACCAGCACCCTAGACAACTGCTGGTAAACAACTGCCAGTATTAAGTAGGAAAACAGTGCTCTGTCTTGCAAAGCCTTCTGAACGGTGTTTAAATTCATAAAAAATAAAGCTATCCACAAAGAACTCGCATGCCCTTGGGATATGGCTCTGCTAGGGCAATGGCCAAGTTCACAGAGGACTTACCCTTCAACTGAGAAGCTATCAAAGCTGTGTACAGTCCTTGCTTCCACCTTGTTTACAAGTGTGAAGGTCATGGCCTTCTGTCATATTATCATTGTGCAGACGCCAGCACAGCTCTGTTGCTATGTCTGATAAGCTTTCCAGATTCAATTAAACCTGTTCCATCTATGGTGCTCCTCCGGGTAGTGACCGGATGCTGCAAATGAATTTTTAATATTTGCTTTCCATCTTCAAACCCCGTGTCCTCCCCAGTGCTTAGCCTTTGCACGCAAACTGTTGGAAGCTTAGCCTTTGCACGCAAGCAGCTGCTGACATTCACCTTTGTGTTGATGTCCAGTTACTGGCCTCCCCCAGGGCTAAGCTGTCACATGACATTGTGGTCAGCATAGATTCCTTTTGCCCTAACTTGATTTATGCAGCTGGTAGGATAGCTTGAAAGAAACTGTGGCTGAGGTAGGATTTGAACGATGTGAATGTAGTCTAGATTTAGGGCAAGCTGCTATCCCTGTGAGATGTGCTGGAGACACAGACTAGCCCCACATATGATGAAATGGGAAGCACCCTGGGCATAGGAGAGCCAGAGGACCTGGGATGCTTCCCTGGATTGGTCCCTCTTGGACAGCTGTCGGCCGAAGACCAAAGATAAGCCTGATTGTTTCCTTGCTCACCCACTGGACCTTGCAGGACACTAGATACAGAGAAACACCCAATAACAAAGTATTAGGGACCTTAAGACTTCTAGCAAGACGCATATAAAATCTGATTGGCAAGTCAGTGCTTGTATGGTTCTTTGAACATTGCTAATTTAGAGGTAAGGACCCTTGCACAATATTGTTAAAACTGTAAATTTGTGTAGCTATGGTGACCATTGAGATTCCACAATCACAAACCATTTTCAACGAAAGCAACAGAGAACTCCATAGCCAGCCTCATTTCTGAGTGCTCCCCTCCTGATGAGGAAGCTCTGGCAAGTGGGCTTTGGTCAGGTCTTGACAGTGATTGAGAATTAGGGTACAACCAACAAGGAGTTCTAAACAAGGGCTGTTTCACTGGGTCACTTAGTGTCACAGAGTAGTTAAGCTTACTGTGTTGATTCTGAAAGTCAAAGTTCTCAGGGGAGCCTCTGACTTGGCCAGGGATGTCAGTTGCTGGGTGACCCCTAGAGGAGAAATGTGAGCTGACTGCATGCATTCAGTTGGATACTGGAAATTTGAGTATATGAATAAAAACAATGTAGTAATAATAGTACCAGTTTAAAAGAAACTTTCAATGGTAATAACTTTTTTTTAACCTAATGATTACAATGCTGGCGAGTTTTATGTCAACTTAACACAAACTAGAGTTGCTGGAAAACAGGGAGCCTTGAGAGAATGCCTCCATAAGATCCAGCTGTAAGACATTTTCTTAATTAGTGATTGATGAGGGAGGGCCCAATCCACGGTGGGTGGTGCCATCCCTGGCCTGGTGGTCCTGGGCTCTGTAAGAAAGTGGCTTGAGCAAGCATGAAGAGCAAGCCAGTAAGCAGCATCCCTCCATGGTCTTTGCATCAGCTCCTGCCTCCAGATCACTGCCTTGAGTTCCTGTCCTGACTTCCTTTAATGATGAACTGTGTTAGAGGAGTGTAAGCCAAATAAAACCCTTCCTCCCCAACTTGCTTTTTGGTCATGATGTTTCATTACAGCAATAGTAACCCCAACTAAGACAATAGTAGTAATAAAAATATAATTTTAAATATGGTAGGTGCTGGCTCAGCACATCAGAGCACTTGTTGCTCTTGCAGAGGACCTGGATGGGACTTACAGCATCCACATGGTGGCTCACAACCATCTTTAACTTCAGTTTCAGAGGACTGGATGCGCCCTCTGACCTTCATGAACACTGCACACATGTGGTGCACATATATACATGCAAGCAAAACAGCCATACACATGAAATAAATATTGAAAAGATATATGACTGCTAGTTATGCAGGGACAGGTGGATCTCTATGAGTTCAAGGCCAGTCAGGTCTACAGAATGTGTTCCAGGAGAGCCAAAGCTGTTACACAGAGAAACCCTGTCTCTAAAAAACAAAAACAAAAACAAAACAGTGTGTGTGTGTGTGGGTGGGGGGGGGTAGATCACAGGATCCTTTCCATCCAGGAGTAAATATGACAGTTAAAAATATAAGAGGGGTTGGAGAGATGGCTCAGCAGTTAAAAGACTATGCTACTCTTGTAGAGGACCCGAGTTCAGTTCCCAGCAGCAACCATGTTGGGTGGTTCACACCTACCTGGAACTCCAGCTCGTAGGCTCACTTCTGGCCTGTTGTGTGTGTGCTCACATACATGTTCACATATGCACATATATATATATAAATGAAATGAATCTATAACATATGTTCACAGGGCAGAGTGAGTGGGGGAAGGAGCATGGCCTAGAGCTGACTACGTAGACCAGGCTGACAGCCTGAGTTCACTGTGGTTTCCTTTAATTTCTGGAGGAAACGTCTTCTGTGATAGAGATGCCAGACACCTAGTGCCTTGGCATTAGGTATTTTATAAAGTCACCAGCCATCTCACAGTGGTAAGATGACAAAGAACAACCATGGGGCAGAGGCGTCTCATTGCAGCCTTAGACCTAGTCTTCCAGCGGGTCCCAGCAGTAAAACTTCTCCCTTCTTCTGCTGAGATTTCCTCAGAAGCTGTTTTTTTTTTTTTGTTTGTTTGTTTGTTTGTTTTGTTTATTTTTCTGGTGACACGCAATTCAAGCATGAACTATCTAAAACTTTCCAGTATGTTTTCTGGAATAGAATATATTTTGATCACATGAAGAAAATTTTTGAGGAGCAACTCTGCCTAAGTCCCAGAAATTAAGATATGTCACCCGTGAGGTGCCATCTCAGTCTCTGATGACTTGTTAAGGAGATGATTCCATTACTGTTATGTCTACTGCTAAGTCACTTACCGAATGAGGCTGTGTCAAAATCCACCTTGCTCTGTGTCTCTGGGTGTCAGACACTGTGTTTGGGGGTTGTCTCTTGATCCTGGGATCCTGAAAAGAAACAAAATTCAGAAAAGAAAGAAAGAGCCACTGAATGACTTGAGGTGATCCAGGGACATCTGCCTGAACACAGAAAGACAATGCCTGAGATATCAGGCCATGGCCACCTGCAGGCTCTCTGGCTACCTATGCAGACAGTGCGTCTCTGTGCCTCAGTGGAGGGACGGTGGCCCATGGGTTCTTGGCCATGATGGCCTTCTTCCCAATGAGCTCTTTCCCAGAGCCTTATCATCCTCAAACTTCAGCCTAAAATGCCCCCCCTTCTGTCCCTCCCTAATCCTGCCCTTGGCCCCTGGCAAACTTCTGGTTCATTCTGCAAGCTACACCACCTCACATTTGCCTCACATGAGCTTTGTGGGTAGGGTGGGGAGTGACAACTTCCTTCACACTGCAGTAGGAACAGAGAACGGCTTAGTGCAGGTGATGAACCACCTCACATCTCTGGGAAGATCATTCTACTTGTAATATAATGAAGATAAGAAGCAGTGGGGAGTTGGGGGGGGGGCTTGGACCAGATCTATAGCTGTGGGCATGCTATGAAGCCAAACTGGGGGACTCCCAAAACATTGGTACAGTAAGAACTAAGCTCCCACTCCACCCCCAAATCAATTTTTCAGCCGACCTTGACGCTGAAGAACAAGGTCACTAGAGGGGCCATGTACAGGGCAGGAAGGGGCTTGCATCATTACTCTGGTTCTAAGGAAGGAGCCGCTACATTCTCAGAATCCTGACTTCTACTCTAGTTGATGCTGGATTGATTTCCCAGTAGTCATTTGTCTAAGGGCAGTAAGTACATAAAGTAGATTGAATACAGACGATGTAAGATTTAATGTGAAGCCCCATAGCTTCTGTCTCAAACGCCAGTTCTAACTATAAGTTCATTATGTGTACAGGCTGTGGGTCTGGCTGGTTTTGCTGTTTGATGCTTTTATTTATTTGCAAGGCTTTTATAATAAGTTTATAAATTTATTGAAATACCCTTTAGGAAATAAGGAAGAAAGAAAGAAAGAAAGAAAAAAGAAAGAAAGAAAGAAAGAAAGAAAGAAAGAAAGAAAGAAAGAAAGAAAGGAAGGAAGGAAAGGAAGAAAGGAAGGGAGGGAAGATAGATAGATAGATAGATAGATAGATAGATAGATAGATAGATAGATGTAAATTTCCTGCTTCATTCTCTACAAGTAGGCCTAAAGCAATGGTGGAAGCTGAAAGAAATTTGGTGGTGTGTTTGTTACTGTTTTCTAAGCATGAACTTCACACTTAAAGTCAGTAAACAGAATAAATGATATGAATCCCAGCCTGTTTTGTCTGTTTAATACTTGAAATGACAAACTATGGGCAGCTCTTTCCCTGCCCTGTAGGTCTGGGGAGCTCCTGTGAGAAGCTGCAGTTGAATGGAATACCACAAGTGACTGTTTTCTGTCTTCATAGGGTACCCAAAGCAGAGGACCACTGCTTCTCGAAATGGGATCACACCCAAGCCTGACCTGCAGGCCCGAGAGGCAGAGCGGCAGCTGGCGCAGAGACTAAGGGACAGGTGTGAGTGGCAGGCCAGGCAGCTGGGCCTGGCTAGAGGGGAGCTGAAGAAGGCCATCCGAGGCTTCGACGCCCTGGCTGTGTCTACTCAACATTTCTTTGGAAAGGTGAGGCTGTGGCTGTGAATGCTAAAGTTCTTACCTACTTGGGTGCTGGAGCTAAAGCGATGGTCTTTGAAGTGTGTGCGACTGAAGGGTGTGGGGATAGAGTTGTCATATGAAATCTCCTGCAGCATTCTAGAATATTCCAGGAGCCCAAAACTCATCAAAGAAACTAAACAACCTTGGTTACAAAAGAGAAAAGTGAGAATAGAAAGAGAGAGAGAAAGAAAGAAAGAAAGAAAGAAAGACAGGAAGGAAGGAAGGAAGGAAGGAAGGAAGGAAGGAAGAAAGAAAGAAAAGGATACATACAAGGGGCTGGAAAAGGAAATGTTTGAAACAGACAGTATGTGCTTCTTTGCATTTTCAAAAACACATGGGCTCATTCTGATGTTTTGACTGAGGCCACAAGGAGACAGGACCTTGGGGTCATCTCCCTTGACTGCTGGTGGGAAATGCACTGGGCAGGCCCGAGGGACATGCTCCTCTGAGCCCAACAGCACGGGCTAGAGAAGGATCTCCACTGAACACTATTTCTCTAGAAATGCAGAATGCCCATTTCTTGTCACAAAGGTTTCTTGAGGGTAAAAATGAGCATTTATTTTAGAGATTTGAATATAATGCCCATTTTTGTTGTTGATGTTGCTGTAATAAAACATCCAAGAATGGGTAGTTTGTTTAGAAAACAAAGTTCATTTTGCCTCATAGTTCTAGAGGCTGAATACCTGAGAGCATGGCTCTAACACCTGCTGGGCTTCTGGGGAAGGCCTCAGACTGTTTTGCCTCATAGTGTAAAGCAGAAGGGCAAGCAGGCATGCAGAAGAGAGGGGGCAGGTGATGGGGAATGTCCTTCTGTGTGCTGTGAATGTATGTTTCTCTTATTGGTTGATGAATAAAGCTGTTTAGGCCAATGGACAGGCAGGGTTTAACCAGATGGGAAATTCAAACAGGGATAGAGAAAGGTGGAGTTGGAGAGATGCCATGTAGCTGCTGAGGAAGCAAGAGGTCCAGGCATCACCTGCAAGTCAACATCACGTACAGATACACAAATTAATAGAAATGGATTAATAATTAAGAAGGAGCTATCCAATAAGAAGCCTGAGCCATTGGCCAAACAGTTTATAATTAATATAAGCCTCTGTGTGTTTATTTGAACTAAAGGGCTACAGGACTGGGCTGGACAGAAACTCCGTCAACAAGCAGGGTGTCTCAGAGTTTCTATTGCTATGAAGAGACACCATGACCACAGGAACTCTTATAAAGAAAACATTTAATTGTTGTGGCTTAATTACAGTTTCAGACCATTCTATTTGTAATGTAATGAAGATAAGAAGCAGAGGAAAGTTGATGGGGGACTTGGACAAGATCTGTAACTGTGGACATGATATATATGCAGTCAACCAGGGGGGGCTCCCAAAACATTGATGCAGTAGGAACTAAGCCCCCAACCCATCCCTGAATAGATGTTATCACCTGACTTTGACAATGAAGAACAAGTTTGACTGAGACACTGGGTGGTATCCTGAGCATAGGAAACCTCAAACCCTGCCCCCACAGTGACACACTTCCTACAACAAGGTCATTCATACTCCAACAAAGCCACACCTCCTAATAGTGCCACTCCCTGTGGATTATGGGGGCCAATGACATTCAAACTACTACACAGGAAGGGAGGGGCAGGGCAGATAACTGAAATGTCCAATGCCGACCTGCTCTCTCAGGAGCTGATCTATTCCCATGAGACAGACATGAATTCTTTCTCAAGCATCCACTTTTTCAGTAGAAGGTTTTGGAGAACCAGCCACACCCAAGTCCTAAGAATGGGTGAGCATTCTGAGCTCCACACGAGGGTCCTCTGGCATGTATAAATAGCAATCGGTAATATATGGTATCAACACCTCCTAAATAGGACTGTGAAGTGCCTAAAACTCTAGCTAATTTAAAGACAAAACAACAGGACATTTAGTTGCACAGTGCCCACTGACTTCTTTCTTAGTCACCCAAGTTGCACTGTAGGGCAATTCTTTGCCCTTCTGTCCCCTCCCTGCCCTCTAGTGGATCAACCCAACCTTTGTCCTTTTCCTTTGGTCTTTTTTCCTTTTTGCTTAAGCTTTCAGCATAGAGTCACTTACTGATCCATTGTTTTAAGGGACAACATGATGCACAGATAGCTGCAAAAACATTCATTTTTACCAATAGCCCCAGCTTCTTCACCAGCCAAAAACTTTCACCCTAGCAATGAATAACCAATTTAGATTTCCCTTCTTTCTGGATGGTCATATTGGTGTCAACGAAATGTCCGCCCCTGCACGAATTATAGAAGTTACAAATGCATTTTTTGATGTGTCAGGGAGGCATGCCTCACCACAGTGAGCATGGGACATCTGTTTTGCACGAGTGAGTAGTCTGTCTTTGGTAGGATGCAGATTTTTCGTAGACTGCCAAGTCTTCGGTAGAAAATAAAGTAGGGAGTTTGCTGAGCTGGGTGACCACAGTTTCACTGTGACACTGCCTACCTATGATTCCTCCTTCCACATGGTTTCCTCAGAGTCTTGATGATTATTTCGTTGGGTAAACACATCCCAGGGCCCTGAGAGATCCTTTGAAATTTTGTCTTGTGTTTTACAAGTTGAACCTTACAGTACCATAGCAAGTAAGAAGCCACTGGGCCAGAATTAAGGGTCCACTCAGATAGCTTTATACCTCTCTACTCCAGAAAACTTCCTTACAGATAATGAGTTGTATTCCTCCGTGGCATACACAAGGCTCTACAGCTAGAAACCCAGGAGAGATAGCAGGTGACGTGTAAGTGTCTCCATCAGACCCCACTACCACCACTGGGGCTGTCCAGGCCTGACATGTCAGTCAGCAAGATGGACGGTGGGACATGATTTTCATTGACTTTTCCGTAAATCACAACCAGCAACTCCAGGCAGGCCTCTAAAACAATCCGTGGGATTTCACCATCCATGTCACGTGTGTGGCCTTTTCTGTCCTTCTGATCACTCTCCCTCTTCCTCTAGATAAACTCCAGCAGAAAAGGGGGGATCAGGAGTGGCATGGTAGGGATCAGACAGGCAGAAACTTCTAATGTCATTGTTGGCTTCCACAACTCATCAGCGCTGCATGTGGTCTGCCTTTAGCAAATGGAACCCAGGGGTCCAACATGGGGTGATCACTGACAAGGCAGATGCCTTGTAGCCTCCGATGGTGGGGTTCTCTGAAGATTCAAGGACTAGGAAGCAGTGGCACCCATGTCACTTCTGTGATAAATTAGATACACTGTCCCCACGTGGAAAAAAAAAAAAAAGGCCCTATGTGGGAAAAATGTCCCCATGTAGGACGAGGCCAGCCACAGAAAGCATGGCCACAGAGACTATTTTTGTGCATTTATTTAATTGTAAGTTCATCACAGCGCACAACTCTTGCAGTCCGTAGTGCAGGGCTTCTCAACCTTCCTAATGCTGCAACCCTTTAGTACAGGTCTTCTTCGTGTTGTAGTGACCCCCAACCATAGAATTATTTCATTGCTACTTCATAACTGTAGTTTTGCTATTGCTATGAATCATAATGTAAATAAATATCTGACATGCAGGATATTTGATATGCGACCCCTGTTGGGCAGGGAGGCTGTCTCACTCGACCCCCAGGTTGAGAACTGCTACCATAGTGTATTGATTGAGTGACAAAGTGTACTGGGATGATGAGGTACCATGCTGGCCAGCAAAAATGCCACCTGTGCCTCTGGGAACCTAAACAGGTCCCTGCTCTCTCTCCATGTGCCTGCTATTGTCCCCGATGGCAACAGCAACCTCATCCTGTGTGCCCTCCCCTGGCTGCATGCTTCTGTCCTTTGTCCTGAGTCTTGGCTCTCTCCACTTCTGAATGGCAAATGCTACCCACGTCTTTGTAAGTTTGTTGTAAGGATGTGGAGAGTTCATGGGAAGAGGCACCTTATGGAAATCCTTGAGAATGATCTTCTGTGAGTGCAAGGAAATCTACAAAGCCCACTGTAGGGGTTCTGCTCTCTAGACAAGATTAGAGCGTATGAGATGGGTGAAGTAAATGCAGCCTGGCCGCTTCGATGTCATTATACAGGTCGCGTTTCCCTGGTCTTGCATCCCTGGTTTGAAATCTGAACTGTTCCAACACCTGAAACTGAGGACTGACAGGGAACAAGTGTGACATTCCACACTGGAACTCCTAAGATGGGCTGCACTTTTAAAATATTATATAAAATTACCTCTATCTGTGCTTCAAGAGTGCATAAGGAACTTAAATGAACACTGTGTTCAGACTTGGATCCCGAGATAACTCATTATGTACCCTGTAAAAACACCCAAGATTCTAAAGAAAAAAATCAGAAATTCCATCCCCAAGCATTTTGGATAAGATATACTGACCTGACTCTATACATAAACAGTGTTTTGTCTGGTCTAGCCCGATCAATTGCTATAGTAAATTTTTACTGAAAGTGTTGAATATGTCTTGAAGGACATATTGAAAATTCATCTCAACACTGGGAACAGCACAGAAGCTCAGATGGACTCCCGCTCCTGGCAGAATGGCTGCGGAAGCTGTGGGCTCTGACAGCTTTACCCGGTGGCCAGGGATTCTGAGATGCCACCCTTAGGTGCCAACATAACCTCACACCTGCCTGCTCTTAACAGCTTTGCCCCTGCAGCCAGTCATGTTCCTCAGCAGGCCAAGCAGACTTGCCGAAAAACATGGTCTCAAACTTCTCCAGGGATGTGGTAATGAACATGACCCTCCTGGGCTCACTTCCCATGGTCCTGCTGACAAGCTGGAATCGGTCTCTTGTTTTTGTTGTTCCTCCAAATGCTACCCTGTAGCACCCTCTGGTGGTTACTCCATGAAACAGCCCAGACCCAGACAGTGGTCCTGGATCACAAGCATTGTTTCACATTAAACAAGCTCTTAATACAAAAGCGTGGAAGGAACACAAACCCAAATTCCCATCATTATACTTAAAATCTATCAGCATCCTA